CCAACCCCTTCTCCAACACAATCACCATCGGCAGCGTGTTGGGCTGAATCACGTCGCGTAGCAGCTTCCATGCCTTCGGTCCGGAATCATCCAACTCCACCAAATCCTTGATGTGCTGGAACATGTCGTTGTTGACCGATTGGAGGATGAGGTCGTACAGCACCGCGCTCTTCTCAATCCACCGATCGCGGGCATCTCCTTCCCCCGGCATCTTCTCCTCTCCCATTGCAATTTTCAGCAGCTTGTAGCGCTTGAAGGCGCTCCGCATCCGCCCGCTCCATTCCTCATAGTTGGAGCCATCCAAAGCTTCAATCTTGGATGGTGGCGGCTCACTCCTCTTCTCAGCTGCATCTCCACTCCCTTGATTCATCTCCTCTGCTCCCAATCAGAGGTTTCAGCTCCCCCTTTTGCTGGTCACAATGTAGATCCACACAATCTTCACAAGTGTCAGCGCCAACGAAATTTCGGCAGAGTTTCCCCTTAGCGGAAGTCACATCCAACCTCCAGAACTCCACTTAGGCACGCCCACAGGCCATGGTGGGTCTAGGAGGGTCTTCACACTTCAGTAGACTCCCCACAAGGTCCTTAATCAGCTCTGATACCACTTGTTAGAGATTAAGGACGGAGTCTATGAAGATTAGGGGCTGAAATATCTCAAAATCGTCAACTACAATTCTGGACAGAAAAGTCGTCGTCACAAGAAACGTCGTCGACGAAAGGTCCACTGTTAGAATTCTTTCAAACTCGAGTATGTTGTAGCCCTTGACCGTGGCTATCTTTCCCAATTTGAATAGTATCAGAATATGGAGTATAACTCGAGTTATGAACTTCGGCGCACTAGGGGGTATGCTGCCATAGAAAACGTAACTCAATCACAATGATCTCACAAGTTCACACAAGAAAGTTAGAGTAGCAATAGAGCCAGGTAGGAGGGGATGAGGAGGACGAGAGGGAAGGTCCCAAGAGAGTCCCCAACCAAGGAAACCCCATGCCATACAATTCCCTTCCCCATAGGCAACCCAACTTTGACCTTTGTCACTATCCCAACCTCCACAATCCACCTCAACCCAACTTGGCCACACTTGCCAACCTGGTTTGGTTTCTCCCAACCATTTGGCAGCAACTACAGTAGAAAAGACGAATTTCCCAACCCCCAAAAGTCTGTACCCCATATTGAGTCAACCCCACAACTTCCCATAGTCACCACAACCAAATATCAAAAGCATACGAACTCCAACGTTCGTAACTTTCTAGTTCGTGCTCCGATTGAAGCGATACTTGGTTCCTCGGAAAGCTCTTGAGCAGAGGAGTCACTTCAGATATCTGCTCAAGCCAAATAACATTCACACACACACTCAGAAAAACCAAACCGCACAAAACACAAATTCTTGCACACACTCACAACACGCATGCAACGCACGAACATATGATGGGAGGCAGACAGACGTGAATGCGAATGGTAGCATCACTCAACACGTACCACTCACGAAGCTGCTGTACCGACGGGGTGTCACGGGAGCGCAGCTGCTGCTGGCGCTGGCTGCCACCAAAGCCTCCACGCTGCGCGGCTGTGCCTCGACCAGCACCACCGCCGCCGCCACCTCCAACACCGCTGCCGCTGCCTCCACCACCTCCGCCACCACTGCCACTACCTCCACCGCCGCCACTGACGCCCCCACTCCCGGTACCACCTCCACCTCCACCGCCTCCTCCTCCGCCTCCTCCACCTCCTCCACTGCTTCCCCCGCCGCCCCCCCCCACCACCCTTGCTCCCCTTGCCCCTGCTGTTGCGGCGTCTCCCAGTAGGGGCAGACGCAGCTCCGACCTCCTCAGTGCCAACGAGGTCGACAGCAGCAGCAGAAGCAACAGAGGGGAGAAGGGGGACAGGGGAACACCCCTCAAAGAAGGGGGTGCGACGGTCGCCGCGAGAAGCACCTACTCTTCTCAGCCGCAGCAAGGCGCTCCTCTAGCAGGTCGACAGTCAGCTCGGTGGGGCAAAGGGAGAGAAAGTGATCCCTGACTGAAGAGAGGGAGTCAGGGAGGCGGGTGACTAGGTAGTAAAGGGTGATGTACATGGGGGGGGGGTTCTTGGCACAGAACTCAGTGGGAAGGGCAGCACGGTAGCGGGCGTCACTAGTGCGAAGGTGAGCAACTAGGTCAGCAACTGTAGCAAAGGCGGCAAGGTCAGGGAAAAGGTACGGTAGCATGAGGCGGCTGAGGGCAGCAGTGGCAGGGGAGGAGTAGCGTGCAACTACAGCGTCGTACAAAGACTGAGCAGTCTTGTACTGGCCAAAATGTGCGCGCTCAGCAGGCGGCAGGTGACTACGAACAGCAAGACGAGCAACAGCGTCACGAGTGGTCCACTGCGAGCAAACTGTACTATCAGCAGTGGTAGCAGGAGCAGTGGAAACACCGGACGTGTGATCGAAAAGGGATACCCCATCCCTAGAATCACACTGAAGAAAAAGCTGTAGGTCGTCAACCCACACGTCAAAGTCAACTGCACGTCCCTCAGCATCGAAGGTGAGTACGGTAGGACTAGCCATAGTAGCAGTAGGAGCAGTAGCAAGAGTAGCAGCAGTTTCAGCAGTAGCAGCAGTAGCAGCGCGGCTCGGCTAGGCAGGGCGGCGCGGGTGCAGCGGCAAGCAGGTGCGGCAGTGCACTTACCAGTGGCGGACGAGTTGGGCCGCTACTGGTGGGGCTGGGCCGGGGCGCGTCAGGCAGGGCGGCTGCAGGCTCGTCAGCGGCAGCAGGGCCACTACGGTGGCAGCTGCTGCTGCAGCAGGGACGGCGACGGCAGCTGCTGCAGGGGTGGCGACGAGGCAGGGGCAACGCCGCTGGCAGGGGCGACGCCGCGGGCAGGGGCGACACCGCGGGCAGGGGCGACGCCGCGGGCAGGGGCGACTCCGCGGGCAGGGGCGACGCCGTAGGCAGGGGCGACGCCGCGAGCAGGGGCGACGCCGCGCGAGTCCCGCAGGGGCGTCGCGACGAGGCAGGGGCGGGGCCGCAACCGGCGACGGGGCGGGGTCGCGAAGGGGCCTATAAGGGGCCGCGAAGGGGCCGATAAGGGGGGGCCGCGAAGGGCCGACGGACGGAGGACTGGCAGGCACAGACTCAGCAACCAGAGCAGAGGCGTAGTCGAGACGGCAGGCAGCAGCAAAGTCAAGCAGCTCAGCAACGAGAGCAGAAGCAGCAGCAGACTCAAAGGACGGGTCAGTGACAGTAGTGGCAAGGAGACGAGCGACAGTGGGACTGGCAGCACGCTCTCGGTCAGACTCAGGGTCAGGGACCTCAGGAAGAGAGGACTCAGGAGGAGCAGGCAGAGGAACACGCAGTGGAACAGAGGAAGGACGAAGTGCCATGGTGTGTGTGCCTGGGACAGGAGGAGGACGCGAACGAGGAGCGCGACGAGCAGTGCGAACAGGCGAGACAGGACGAGACGCAGGCTCACGACGCTCTGTAAGACCTCTGGACTGCTCAGTGTAAGGAGAGGGAACAGGCAGTGGGGAGGCGGGCTGTAACGGCGGCTGCGACTGGTCAGGCGGTGGACACAAGAAGGGAGGAGGAAGACCAGTAGAAGATGGGACACCAAGAACCTGCTAAAGCAGGGGAACGAAGTACGGGCGCGGCCGCACAGTGCCTCCAGCACCTCCAGCTCCAGGGTCAACAGCTCCAGCTACACCAGCTCCAGTGCCTCCGGCGCCAGCTGCTCCAGGCTCCGTAGGGTCTCCAGCTCCAGGAGTAACAGCAGCACCTCCAGCTCCAGCGTCTCCAGGCACGCCAGCCCCAGGAGGTCCACTCTGACGGTGTGGGCGCCAAACAAGCCACTCACGCAGCTGCTGCGAGGACAGTCGCGGTGAAGCACCAGCAATACCGCCAGACGAAGCACCACCCCGAGGCTCAGCACCCCCAGACTCCGCACCCTCCGACTCAGCACCCCCAAGCTCCGCACCCTCCGACTTTGCACCCCCAGGCTCAACACCCTCAGGCTCAGCACCCCCAGACCCAGCACCCTCAGACCCAGCACCCCCAGACGCAGCACCCCCAGACGCAGCACCCCCAGACGCAGCACCTGGAGCAGCACCTGAAACGACAGCTACCTGAACAGGCGCAGTACTAGGGAGAGGGTGTACCTGAGATACTCCCGAGGGAGCAGGACCCTAAGGCAGAAGGGGGTCTACCGGAGGTGGACCGGGAGCAAGGAAGAGCGGCGGGGGCGGGGAAGGGGCAGTGCGGTAGGGGAAGAGCCAGTAGAAGGGAACCGACTCGTCGAACGTGACGTCCTGAGAAGGGAGGACACGGCGCGAGGTGGGGTGGTAAAACTGCCAGCCAGGCGCGTCAGGGACAAAGCCAAGGAAGACGCAGGGAATGGCGCGGGCGGAGAGCTTGTCCGCGGACGTATCGCGAACAAAGGCACGAGAACCCCAAACCCGGAACACCGACGCATCGCCAACCTTCCCCGTCCAACACAGCAATCCCATTTTGCTGAGGGGAGTCCGGAAGCGTGAACGACTGGAGAATGCCCTCCCCACGACAAAAGTCCCGCAAGAGGTCAGAGGAGAACTCACCACCTCTGTCAGAGTGCAAACGCAGGCCAGGAAGGTCCTGGCCGAACCGCTCGCGCAGCTGGAGACGGACTGTGCGGATCCAAGGGATCAAGACAGTAGAGACTTCACCCTTGCTGCGCAAGGGGAAGACTGTGGTGCACCGCGTGTAGTCGTCAACTACCAGCAGAAAGTAGCACTCGCGGCCTTGTCCACTGACGCGGGCTGGGGAAACGAGGAGGACCGAGGAGCGGCGCGCTGCCGCCCCTTGACACAAGGAAGGCAGGGCGGGGCAGGCGTGGGCGGGAGGGGAGGCAGAGACTTGGGAAGACCAGAGACTTGGAGGCGGGAGTGCATGCCACGAAGGCGTGGCAGGGAGGGGTGACCATGGCGGTGGTGCCACAGGAGAGTCTGGTGCGACGGGAGGCGACACGAGCAGGGGGGTGCTACTAGACCTCACGCGGACACCTGAGCAGACGCAGCTACCTGAGGAGGCTCGGTAGCAGGGTGTACAGACTCGACCCAGGCCGACGGGTGAACATGGCCAGGAGACGGCCCGTCCATGTACACGTGCAGATCGACACACGCTGACCCCCAGGAGTGGTGGTAGTGACCATCGCATCCTGGAGGGCAGCGGTACTCACCAAGTTCGTAGAGAACGAGGGGGGGTGAAGACCTGACAGTGAGCCGGACGGGACTGCCGGACATGGGAGAACAGTGGAGGAACGGGCAAGAACTGGGCCCTCTGAGGGGTCAGCCAGTCTGACCGGTACAGGTGCAGAGAGAGGAGTGAGGGTGGTGCTGTCGCGAAAGAGACAGTTGGAAGCACCTGAGTCAAGCGGAAAGGTGTGCAAGGCCTCAGCAAGCGCAGTACGAGGGAGAGCAGACTCACTAGCACCTAGAGCAGCAGCCTCTATACCTGGGTCAGGTAGCACACACAGGTAACAATCACCCTCAGCACTAACAGACAAGGCATACATAGCAGCAAGGATAGCATCATAGTCAAGATCAAAGATAGCAACTCCCGACCTAAGCAGCTCTGCCCAGCAGGGGCGCTCGGCCTCGTCACCAAACTCTGCGCGCCAAGCGTCGTCTAGGCGGGAGAAGCAGCGGTGCTGAGTGTGAGGCTTCCCGCATGTTTGACCAGCACGGTCACCCATGCGAATGACATACGGGCAGCTAACACTACCCCCAGACGCCCCATGCTGAGAAAACCACTCACGAAGCTGCTGGGGCAAAGGGTTCTCGCTCCGACACTGCTGCTGCTGCCGCTGGCCACCACCAGAACCTCCCCTCTGAAGAGCTCCACCCCGACTGCCACTACTCCCAGTGCCTCCACTACCGCCACTCCCACCGCTGCTTCCACCGCCGCCACCAAAGACCCCACTCCTGCCACCACTCCCACCGCTGCCACCACCTCCACCACCTCCACCACCTTCACTATCGCCCCCACTACCACCCCCACTGCCACCTCCACTACTCTCGCCACCCTTGCTCTTGCTGCTGCGGCACTTCCCACTAGCAGAAGCAGCCCCGACATCCTCAGCACCAAGGACGTCAACAGCAGCAGCAGGGGCGTAGGAGGGGGCAAGGGGGGAGGGGGAACACCACTCAAAGAAGGGCGTGCAAGGAGTGCTATGAGCAGCACCTACAGCGACTACACTAGTCTCAGCTGCAAGGAGGTGCTGCTCGAGCAGGTCAACAAGAAGGTCTGTGGGGTCAAGTGCGAGACTGTGGTCCCTCACTACGCGAAGAGAGTCAGGGAGGCGGGAGACTATGAAGTAGAGAGTGATGTACATCGGGGACGGGTTCCTGTCAAGGAACCCTGCTGGGAGGGCAGCGTGGTAGCGAGCGTCGCTAGTGCAAAGGTGGGTAACGAGGTCCTCTACCGTGGCAAAGGCGGATAGCTCGGGAAACAGGTAGGGCAGTATAAGACGGCCTAGAGCAGTGGTGGCAGGGGAGGAGTAAGGTGTGAGAATGATAGACGAAAGAATGAATGAACTAGAAAAGAGCTACCCCACCACAGCCTAAATAGACCATAGCAGATATAAGTTTGACACACCCCCATAGGCAAAGTGGGGGAGAACAAGAGGTCACAAGACCAGTCAAGAAAAGCAAAGCAAGCTCAGGGTGGATCACAAAGTCACCACACAGTCTGAGCACAAGCAAAGGGCCATAAGGCCAGTTCACATGCAGAGTTATATAAAGGAAAGCAAACAGTACAGTGAACACAACCTAGCAAGTGTAAGCATGCAGGTATAAGTATACAGAGTACAGTTCAAGCAGAGTCAAGAAGTCAACAAGTGAGGCACAGTAGGTACAAGGCCTAACACAGTACAGAAACGCTGATGATCACAAGGCTGAAGTGCCTTGGTGAAAACATCAGCAGTGTTGGCCTGAGAGGCCACGTAAGCAAGACGAAGCTGGCCACGCTGCTGCAACTCTCGAGCAAGGAAGTAGCGCAGAGCAATGTGCTTCGTTCTGTGCTCCAGTCTATGCTCCTGATACAAGGCCAGCATGGCCTTGTTGTCGACGTACAGAACTGGAGGAGAACAAGTCAGTCAGCAGGTAGGTGAGCCAGCGAAGCTCCTGTGCAGCCATGTCCCCAGCGTAGATCTCAGCCTCACAACTGGAGCTGAGAACAGAAGAAGAGCGGGTAGACCGCCAGGAGACAGAACCGGAGCCAAGGCTGAAGGTGTAACCCTGTGACGACCGCTGCGTAGTCAAGTCGTCAACCCAGGAGGCGTCAGCGTGACCAGTGAGGACAACTCGAGCCCGTCCTCCAAGCACGAGCCCCATGCCCGATGTACTGCACAAGTATCGCAACACCCTCTTCGCAGCATCCCAGTGCACCTTTCGGTGCCTGCCGGGAGCCACGTAGCGAGCCAGAAGGCTGAGAGGGTATGCGAGGTCAGGTCGTGTGCAAGTCATCAGGTACATGAGGCAGCCCACAAGCTCTGGATACGGGCCACTCGGCTCTACGGACTCGTCCGAAGGTGGAGCTGAGAGCGAGTGACCGGTAGGCAGAGGAGTGGACTGTGGCGAGGAGTAGGTGAAGCCGAAGCGCTGAAGGACCTGCTGCACCATGTGTGACTGAGTCAAGGTAATGGTGCGCTGTGCTCTGTCCCGGGTGATCCGCAAGCCAAGATAGCTTGTGAGCTCACCCAGGTCTGTGCACGTGTGTCTCTTCTGCAGCTCGGACTTCACGTGGGCGAGTGCCTCCGTGTCAGCAGTAGCAAAGACAAGGTCGTCTACGTACACAAGAACGTAGAACGGCGGCAGAGTAGCGTCAGTGCGTAGAAACAGAGAAGGGTCAGCAGTGGAAGGAGCAAAACCAAGAGCAGCAAGAGTCGTCCTGAGCGTGTCGTGCCACTCACGGGGCGCCTGGCGGAGACCGTAGACTGGCCGCCGGAGGCTCCACTGGGTACCAGCAGGAAACGACCCAGTGAAGCCAGGTGGGCGGCGCAGCCAGATCTCCTCGTGCAGGCTGCCCTGTAGGAAGGCTGTGCTGAAGTCAAGCGAGTGGAGCTCGTAGTCACGTTGAGCAGCAACGTGCAGCAGTACCCGAAGAGTGGTCATCTTCGAGGTAGGGGAGAAGGTCTGAAAGAAGTCAACTCCCTGTCGCTGACTGAAGCCACGTGCAACGTAACGCGCCTTGAAGGCAGGCGGAGAACCCGGCGGCCGCTTCACCCTGAAGATCCACATGCCATTGACGATGTTCGCCCCAGGTGGGGGAACCTCGTCGACGTAGGTGCCTGTGGACTTCCAGGAAGCCATCTCTGCGTCCATGGCTGCCTGCCACTGAGAGGAGTAGGGACCCTCTATCGCCTCTGCGTAAGAGCGTGGGGTCGGGATGTCTAGTGCATCCGGGTCTCCCTCAGGGGCAAGCAGCATGGACACGAGATGAGGTGAAGCAGCAGCAAAACACTCAAGGTCCTCCTGTCTGTCCTCAAGGACGTCCGTGCCAAGAGCACACTCACCCCCGACGGACGGAGGACAGACAAACGCAGACACAGACTCAGCAACAAGACTAGCGGCGTAGTCTAGGCGACAGGCTGCAGCAAAGTCAACAAGCTCAGCAACGAGAGCAGACGCAGCAGAGGACTCAAACAGAGGGTCAGTGACAGCAGTGGCCAGAAAGCGCGTGACAGTAGGACTAGCAGCACGAAGGGAGTCAGACTCCGGGTCCGGACCGTCAGGAAGAGAGGACGCAGGAGGAGAGGGCAGAGGGACACGCTGTGGAGCAGTAGAAGGACGCAGTGTCATAGAGTGAGTGCCTGGGACAGGAGGAAGACGCGCACGCGAAACACGACCAGCGCGAACAGTACGGACAGGCGACGCAGGACGAGACTCAGGCGACACAGGACGAGACTCAGGCTCACGACGCTCCGTAAGACCTCTAGTCGGACCAGAGTAAGGAGAAGGACCAGGCAGCGGAGAGGCCGGCTGCAACTGCGACTGGGACTGGACCGGCGGTGGACTCAGGAAGGGAGGAGGAGGAGGACCCGGAGAAGGCGGGGAGCCAAGAACCTGCTGAAGGAGCGGAACGAAGTACGGCCGCGGCCGCGCAGCGCCTCCAAAAATAGCAGAGACAGAATTGGTACCCTCAGCCCCAGGGTCTCCAGTCCCAGCAGCACCTACAGCAGCTCCAGTACCAGCACCACCAGTAGCTCCAGCAGCACCTCCAGCAGCACCAGCACCTCCAGCAGCTCCAGCTCCAGCACCACCTCCAGCAGTACCAGCGCCTCCAGTAGCTCCAACAGTACCTCCAGCAGCTCAAGCAGCTCCAGCACCAGCAGGAACCCTACAGCGCCGAGAGTACCACTCACGAAGCCGCTGTGGAGAGAGGGGCTCCCGCCGCGACTGGACACTGAGAGCACCTCCAGACGCAGCACGCGCAGGCTCAGCACCTCCAGACACAGTACCCTCAGGCGCCATACCCCCAGGCTCAACACGCCCAGTCTCAGCACCCCCAGTCTCAGCACCCCCAGACTCAGCACCCCCAGTCCCCGCACCCGCAGGGTCAGCACCCCTAGCAGCACCTGAGTCGACAGCTACCTCGATCGGCTCGACAGGGTCTACCTGGGACACACCTGAGGGGGCAAGACCCTGGGGGGGGAGGGGGTCTACCAGGGGAGGACCCGGGGCGAGGAAGAGCGGCGGGGGGGGGGGGAGAGGCAGTGCGGTGGGGAAAGAGACGGTAGTACGACACCGACTCGTCGAACGTGACGTCCTGAGAGGACAGAACACGACGCGAGGTGGGGTGGTAGAACTGCCACCCGGGTGCGTCAGGAGGGAAGCCAAGGAAGACACAGGGAACGGCACGGGAGGACAGCTTGTCCGCTGTAGTATCGCGGACAAAAGCTCGAGATCCCCAGACACGGAACGCGGACGCATCGCCAACCTTCCCCGTCCACCGCAGAGTAGGTGTGGTCTCCGGCAAGGAGACACGAGGCTGAAGGTTGATCTGATGCGCAGCGTACTGAAGCGCGAACGGCCACAGAAAATGGGGAGCAGCCGCATGGATCATGGACGTACGAGCGACGTCCATGACCATGCCAATGCGGCGCTCAGCAATCCCATTTTGCTGCGGGGAGGCCGGAAGCGTGAACGTCTGGCGGATGCCCTCCGAACGACAGAAGGCTCGTAGGAGGTCGGAGGAAAACTCCCCTCCTCTGTCCGAGTGCAGACGTAGAACAGGAAGGTCTGAGCCGAAACTCTCACTGAGCTGGCGATGAGCACCGCGGATCCAGTCGATCAACACCTCAGGAACCTCACCCTTGCTGCGCAAGGGGAAGACTGTGGTGTAACGCGAGTAGTCGTCAACGACCAGGAGGAAGTAGCGCTCGTGACGCTGTCCACGGACGCGGGCTGGGCCCCACACGTCCATGTGAAGGGTCTGCAGAGGAGCCTCTGTCGGAGGAAACGAGGAGGAGTGAGGGGCAGCGCGCTGCCGGCCCTCGACACAAGGAACACAGGTAGGGGCAGGCCCAGGAGGAAGGGGAGGGAGAGACCTGGGTAGACCCGAGACAAGGGCACGGGAGGCCATACCTCGAAGACGAGGCAGGGAGGGGTGACCAAGGCGGTGGTGCCAAAGGAGGGTCTCGTGTGCCAAAGGACGACACGAGCAGGGGGCAGGCGCAGGACTAGACCTGGACGTGGCAGCAAACACCTGACTGGACGCGGCTACCGGACCAGACGCAGAGACTGGAGGAGGCGCAGTAGTCAGTGTATACAGACTCGACCCTGGCCGACGGGTGAACGTGGCCAGGTGGCGGCCCGTCCGAGAGCAAGTGCAGTGGGTCACACGCTGACCTCCAGGGGTGAACTGGTCAACCCACGCGTCCTGGAGGTCAGCTCCACTGACCAGGTTCGTAGAGAACGAGGGGAGGTGGAGTCCCGACAGCAAGCCCGACGGGGCCGCAGGACACGGTAGGACAGTGGAGGAGTGTGCAAATACTGGGCCCCCTGAGGGGTCAGCAAGGGAGACCGCAACAGGCCGACTGAGCGGCGTGAGCGTGGTGCTGTCTCTAAAGAAAGAGCGCGAAGCACCAGAGTCAAGTGTGAAAGTGTGAAAGGACTCAGTAGGTGCAGTACCAGAGGGAGGAGACGTACCAGCACCTGGAGCAGCAGACGCACTAGCACCTAGAGCAGCAGCCGCACTAGCACCTAGAGCAGCAGCCACAGTGCCCGGGTCGGGCGGGACACGCAGGTAACAGTCACCCTCAGTAATATCAGCAAGAGCATACATAGCAGCAAGGATAGCATCAAAGTCTAGATCAAAGATGGGCACATTCTG